AAGAAAGAAAGAAAGAAAGAAAGAAAGAAAGAAAGAAAGAAAGAAAGGAAGAGAGAGAAAGAAAGAAAGACCAGCAGGCTAAGTGACAGTCACCCTGGGGAATGGGATGGTGCGGTAGGAGGTGCCTGGGAGCTGTAGTGCACTGCCCTGCGTATTCTTGGTCTACTGGAATTCCCAACTTTGTCTTTCCTCTGATGCCCATCTACCTGTGTACTTAGGGATGTTGTTTCCTATGTCTCTCTTCTAGAAATGTGTTTGAAAATAGATGATGCGTATAAATGCAGGGACCAGTGCCTGACTGGAGGAGGCATCTCATGGGGCTGAGTCCTGCCTCCCAGCCTGGCAGCCGTCCTCCTGTCATTCTCCTTTCTTCTGTCCCCATTACCACACTGTTTGCTTTGCTTTGTAGTTTTCGTATCTGCCTGTAAGCTCTGTGAAGCACAGGCCTTGTCTGTCTGTCTGTCTGCTATGGTAGCTGCATCTGGCACCACAGGAAGCCCAAGATGGAATACCTTACTGGAACTTGTCAGATGGAGGTGGGACTCTAGGGGACATGTACTTCCCCTAATACTTGTTCTGGGTCTTACATCCTCTCTCTGGTGTTTATCTTTATGACCTTGGAGTACAGGATCGGTGACACCACTGGTGTCTCCAGATACTTTGGGACATTTCACTCCCTGTGAGTCTTTCTATCCAGCTGTCACCTTTCTATCCTAAGCTTCCTCCTTATCAAAAAAAAAAAAACTTCTTTCCTCTGACCTCAGAAGGGAGATCAGTATTCCTACAGTATGGCCCTGTCCCTAACAGGGTACCGGGCTAGTCCTCATTGTTTTTACAAAAGGTGTCTCTAGAAGCTGCCTGATCGCATCATGCCAACCCGTTTGTGTTTCTCAACTGCGTCCACTTGCTAGACTGAGTCCCAGGTCTTGGCCATCCAGAAGCCAAGATAAGACTTCACCCAAAATAATCAGTGAGTTTTGCATCCAAATAGATCAAACTAGCTTCAGGTTGACCTTTCAAGCCCTCGCCACCAGCTCTGTTCTCAGAGTCTCTCCAAGCTCTTCATTTTACTGTGGATAGGAAGAAGCAGAAAAGGAAGGGAGAAAACCCTCCAGGCAGCCCCAGTAGAGGGCCAGTACTCGCTGTTGCAGAATAAAAAGATAACAGCCAATTTGTCAAGAAGCGCTGACAAAAAAGATAAAGTTGGAAGTGATTAACTGGCTGACATGCTGGGAGCAGTGTGCCTGCCAATGGCTCCCTAAATCAGCCAGAGCCTTGGAAATGCGACAGCCATTCATCACTTTTACAGCAGGCCTCTAACAGGCCCGCAGTTGGAAACCTGGCCCACGCAGATCCTGTGCTTTGACACTACCAGGCTTGAACCAACCTGTGCCACATGCTGGGTTGTATTAGGTACAAGGCCCACATCCATCCAGGAGCAGCCTGTAAGACAGGACATACCAAGCCCTTCGGCAGGTGGAGCTTGGCCTCCAGGACAGTTTCCAGAGGCAGCCCTTCCCGCGTGCACAGGGGTCACTGAGCAGAGACCATGGCTTGTAAGTGCGTGTCCAGCTTGACTTGTGTACTGGCCACCAGCACCACTGTCAGCCAGCTGCATTCTCTTGGTGGTGGCGGCTTGTGACGTAGCATTAAAAAGAATTATGAGAGCAATTGTAATAGCCCACACCTGAAATCCCAGCACTGCAGAGGCTGAGCCGGGAGAATAGAAAGTTCAAGGCTAACCTGGGCTACATAGTGAGACCATTTCAAAACTCACAAAACAAAAGAAGTATGAAGTATCTTAGTAAAGTAGAAAATGTGTGTGTTATATGCCAA